ATTCGGAGATTCGGCCACTGAATCAGGCCAAATCTCCTCCGAATCGAATCGCCACCCAAAGCTTCGCACAGCCCTAGTACCTAGCCTTTGGGTCTTGCTTTGGCATAGAATTGCTGGGGTATTGGTCAGTCCTGGACATGCCCCTCATTGTCCCCTGATCAGTTCCTACTGTCCCATCTGCACTGATTTTTGGACTGAAATCATTTGATTTCAACACTTCTGATGCCAATAAACCACTGAAAAAAAGGTAATGAAGCAGTATCAAGTTGTAAACAGATGGAAGGGATTTTGATTCTAGCAGGTCTATTTCTCCTGTTGATACACATCTCTGCACATGCATGACAGCAGAGTAGACCTCAGGATGTGGAATGGATTCAGGATTGTCTTTTATACTTGATATGACTAGACATATGCCAAATTTGTAATGCCAGATCCATTTTCTACTTAGCTGAAACAAATATTATTAAAATAAATGGTGGATAAATTAGGAAATTAACATTCTGTTGCCAGGTCAACCACATTCCTTATTAATGGATATCTGTATGTATGTGAGGGGGATAATATTCAGTGATGACAGACATGAGCTGCAAGCTCTTCCTAGCTCCGTGGGAGGGAAAGGTTACAGAAAATAATGCCTTTAGCAATGGTGACCTAAGCCCTGTGTTGTGTCTTATCACTGTATGTGCATGCCTGAGAGAGAGAGTTGGAATTATTAGGAGGATCAAAAGGCAAAATCTGTTTTTTAATTAATAGTATTTCAGTTTCCTGAGGGGACACAAAACACATTTTTATGTGTTTTCACAGATTCTGCTCTTGATGAGAGATGCAGTGGATCAAAGTCTTTGCCTCTCTTAAAATGTGCCTCCCATTTCTTTGCATTCAGAGTGATTTAGTACCCTACCAGGTTTTGGTTTTAACCATGTAAATATTATCTCTGGGCTTCACTACATACATCCTTGTGCTGTATTTAGACTAGATCCTGCTAAAATAGAAAGATGTTTGAGCGTTTCCTGGTATTTTTTTGTCAATCCTACTAGCTATTTCTGGAGAGTGAAAAAAGGAAGGAAAAAAAAACAGTTCACGTAGCACTGAGGAAAAAGTAAAGTCTGTGGTCTTTCTTTCTGAGCTGATAATGTATTATGCTGGTAACACCAGGCACACCAGTTCACCAAGGGTTTGCAGTTTTTCATCTATGTGATAAACACCGTTGTTTTAAATTCAAGGACTAAAGTGAATGGGCTGAGCTAAGCATATACCTTTTTTATTTCAAGGGCTTGCCCTGTGTCCTGTTGGCACTGATTTGTGCTGCTATGCAAGAGCTTTAGGTATGATGCTAGCTCTGGTCTCTTGCTCCCCAAAATCTCAAAGGCTTAGGATGTGAGGGGAAGAGTGTTCTCATGCTTGAAATGGAGGCAGTGCCTGTTTCTCTGCAGCAGGTATTGCAATCTATTAAATAGCAGCACAGATGGACTCCAAAGGGAATCTCTTTCAGTCCTTTAACTGTACCATGACTACCCAAGATTTTCAAGAAGTGTTTAAAATCAAATTCCAAAATAAGCAGCCTGTTTTTTTCCAAAACTGGTGAGAATTAAGCAGCCTCTAGTAATTTCAGTAAGAGCTTCTAAGTGTTCAGTGCTGCTGCAAAACCAGCTCAGCAAGCACCCACATATGGACATAGAAACCTAACAATTAGGCACCCCATTTTGAAGATTTTGTACATTATTAAATGTAATATGAGTAGTTGAGAAACTTGGGAAGATTCCACAGAGCTGTGATAAGGACCCCTGGAAATTAAAATATTTGATTTCTAGCTGATAGTAATTCTATGAAAGATGGCCTTTCCTGCTCTGTTGTATTTCCTCTTCTCTCTTGATTCAGCAAATATTCTTCACTTGAGTATGGGGAAATATTGCTGCATGCTGTATTACACTTACTTCTGTTCTGTTTGCTGTCCCATTTGCCTCAGTTGGACCAGGATTGAAGTGATCATTCTTTCACCAACATTTTCTGCATCTGAAGGGAAAAAAAATCCCTGTCTCATGCAATTAAAATGTGGTTAAGATCTGTGGTTTCATCTTAATAACATCATTTTGAAAAACAAACCTGAACAATGATTTTTGTGAAGATTATACAGGAGAGAACCCAGGGGTAAGCCAGTACATTTTACTGTACTGATTTCGAAATGCAAATCAGCAGTGAAAAAGGACATTTTCTGTAAATCAAAGCTTCATTATTTTTGCAGCTCTAAAGGTAACAGAAGCATAATATTTACCTTCTACTTAGGATAAGCAAAAGATTGACATTAAGTACTCATGCTTCTCTCTTTTTCTTTTATCTCTCCCAAGTACTGTTTTTTCCACTTCCTATTCAGCTAAGTCATGTTCTATATTTTTCACATCCTTGAAAAGGCTCCATGGCTGAAAAGCTGTTCCTAATCACATTATCTTCTTTTTCAGCATATATTCATTTCTAAGTTGCCTGTAGAAGCGGGAGTTTTCAGATACAGTAACTGGGCTTTATAATGGCAAACATGTTTCTTTTTAAATCTGTCTTCTGAGTTTTGCTATGTAGATTTCTTGATCTGTCTTTTATTTCGTGGACTTAAATTGCAGAATAAGCACTTAATGTGTTAGATATGGTCCTGTTTCTGAGTAGACACAAGTAATATATCTTTATGTTTAAGATACAATGTGCAAAATATGGGAAATGAGTAATGTTGTTAGTTGAAATGTTGTTTAGTGTCTGGTTCTCTACAAGTTAAGAAAACGAATACAATTAGTCATGCAATTACACACACACATTCTTTGCCACAGAGGTATGAACTGTTGTATCTTTATAGGGGACCATGTGCTGGGGGGGTCCTAGGAGATATTAAACTAAAGCTTTGTTTTACTACTCAGAAGTGCTATTTGGTATTTGATTTGCTCCCCCCTCTTCTGTCAGACAGTGTCAAAGGGTTTTAGGTCAGGAATGAAAACATCTTCTGTAAAACAAATAGTCTTAAAACTATGCATTTACTAATTATTGTTCAATATCCTCTCCCAGGCCAAATACTTTACAGGTTAGTCCTGGTCTTATGGAAAATTGTCTTGATAGATGAGTGGCTCAGAGCAACATCAGTAATTTATGGATATAGAAAACTCATGCAGTCTCTCACTGTCTTTGCTTTACAGATGTGCTCTAGGGCAAGTGAGATGCTTGGATAATGGAAAGGCAGAGTGTTAATAAATCTCAGCCATGAAGACAATACTTACATCTTTCCTTTAAAATAAATTCAAAGCTGAATCCTAAATTACGTTTTTAAAGATCATTGATGCTGTTTCTTCATGTTATCACTATTGTTGTATTGAGTGCTGGGTAATGTGCAGTATTTTTTATGTATAATTTAAAAATACAGGTAATTAAGTTTAAAGTGTGAGATTTGTTTTCCAAAACTAGTACATCACTAAGACCCCATAAAAATATAATATACTGCATTGGATAAGTTATTGGAATCAGTTGAGTTGCTGTCCGTGGTAGTTGTAGAATTAGAAAACTAATACAATCTGTTGAGGAAATGACTGCTACAGTATAAATAACTTGGTGGTAATCTGCGAAGACTGTAAAGAAAATGAACAACGTAGAAACTGCTGCACCGGAACAGAGCACTGATCCATATAGTCTCGTATCCTGTCTCTGACAGTGGCCAATACATGATGATTCAGAGGAAGAAATACATGCAGCCAATTGTGTGATAGTGTACCAGAGGGGAATATTTCTTTCTGACCCCAGATGGTGCTCAGTTTATGCCTTAAAGCATGAGGATTGATGGCCATTGTAAATTTTACCCTAGCTAGTCTAACCTAATTGGATTGCTCCGTGCTGTCCCTAACCTGCCCTTCACCTGGCCTTGACAGAATTACAATCCTGTCTCTCATCGATAGATGCATAGTTTTCACATTTGCTATCCTAAGCAGATTTTGTTGTCTGATCTAGGTCCTCTTAAGCTCCTATTTTAAATGATGGTACAAAGCTTCATTGTTTTCCCTTTAGCAAAACTGAAAGCCATCCCTTCTGCAGAGAAAAGTGGCCCTGGCCCTCAACCTGGATGAATTCCTGCCAGTGAGAATTAGCCCCTTTCCAGCTTTCACAGCAGCCTCTCCCAGGACCATATGGACAAGGTAGGTAGTGGTCTTATATGGGAAAGATGGGGAGGGGCATGCTGAAGATTAATTTGTCCCACAGTGCTGATATGTCACTGCATCAGCCGAAAGGACCACTGAAACAGAGGGTTAGTCCTGAGTGCTGAGATTGATCTGATCCCCAGCAGCTCCTAAGTAGGTGAGAGGTACAACAGCTCCAATGGCAATGCTGGACCTGCCCTTTGTTCAGTCTCCCCATCCTTCCACAAGGATATAGCACTTCTCTGACTTGAGCCATTTGGCTCTAAGGTGTTGTAGAAATGAAAATGATTATTATTGCAATATGTGCATCAGGTGGGCCAAAGTTCATAAAAGTTATTTGGGTTCGCTCACCCAAAGACAGCACTTTGTTCTGAGCTAATACATATATGTTTCTTTTGTCATGTGCCCATCTAGTGCACTGCTGCAGTCTGAGAGGAGCTTTCTGCATCTAAAAGTCAGAAGTAGCTGATCACATTGACTCATTTCTAGGTACGCTTATACTGTATGGAGACCATTTATCAGCCTTCGCCATAATAGTCTAGGGCCTGAGATGTGGTTATGGTAAGCATGGGATAGGGCAATAAGTGAGAATCTGTCTGAGTGACATCTCATAACAGCACCTGTAAGCCTAGAGCTGTTCAAGGGAGGACCTATTTAATCTCTTCAGGGGGCAATAACCCACGGGCAGAACTGGTCCTAAACATTATATTTAAGAAAATGGAACCCAAACCTGTGGAATTTCTGCAAGAATTCATCTTTCTTTCCCTTCTCTGTGTTCTCTGCCCATTTCTGTTCAGATTGTAAGAGGCAGCCCCTGTGTGAATTCCTTATTTGAAGTTTGCACAATTGTCCCCTGATTTTGGCTGACTACAATAATAAAAATAAATAATAGAACAAGAACATGGAAGGTTAAGGACTAGATAGAGAGATGATGAGGAAAGAAAGGCAGGTAGTGAGAGAGAGTGAGTTTTAGGGTAAGAGGGAAGGAAAAGAAAGAAGAGTAATTGCCCTGGGGAAGGATGAGAAGGGGGAAAAAAAGGAGCAGACAGGGAAAAATTCAGTTGGAATAGAAGACATGGCTACAAGGGAAGAATTAATAAGATCCTTTTGATAACAGGATATGAAATCATCAGTGATGTGATTTACTGCTTTACCCTCCCGTCCTTTCTCCTGTGGTTATAAATTAAGGCTTGTCTAAATGTGTGTATCTGTGTGCATTGCACGTGCTTGTATTACATGTTAAATACTGGGTTTCAGATGAAAATGCTTTGTGTCCCCATAATCCAGTTCTTTTTATTCTTTTTCTCCAAATTATCTAGCCATGTTTAGTAAATTGACTAAGTGTGTCAAGTATATTTGGGGTTGCGTTCATCTGGAACAAATTTGTGTAAATGCAGTGGTACTTTAAATGAACTTTTCTGCCTCTGGGCATCCCCCACTGCTGTCCAACATGTCATTGCTTCCCTACTGGATTAACTTGTCTGTTCTCCTGTGTGCCCTGCATTTTTCTGGAGTCACTTAGCCTGGACATCACATGCCTCCTATTTCAATGCTTGCATACTAGTAGTTGTTTCCAATTTGGGTCACCTGGAATACAGGGTGAAAAACAGCACTATTAATTTTCATAATGGTCCTGGAAGCAGAAGTTACCTTGGAAGAAAAGAGACCTGAATTTCTAAAGATACTGGTGTCATAGACGCTTTCAAACTACCCAATATAGATATTGGTAAATCTTCTACCTTGAAAATCAGATGGTGGGGGTGTAAAGTATAGGCACTTGGATCCATCTCTGGCCCAAATACAAATTGCGAACTTCAGCCATGCAACTCTATCAATAATCTCCCATGAATTGTCAAGCTTTCTGAGCCAGCTTATCAGCATCCCCTTTATAACAGAGCATGCCTGACTGACAACAGCCATGCAAGTCAATCCATCAACACCAAACTGACTGGAAACCATCAGGGATGGCAAGACTCTGGCTGGAAATAGCCAAACATTTCTCTGCTCTTTTCAATGAGAGCTCGAGTTTTGGTAATTTGCTGCTACAGCTCTGGGATGAATTCTGCACAGACTTCTAGGAAAGTGACCTTTTTCATCATAGTGGGTCATTCCAGGTTTCCATCATTATCATTTCTTGCTGGTCAGTTTTACCTTCTTGGCCCAGAAGCAATGATCTACTAAAAGAAGATGCTCTAGGAAAAGTCCATTCATGAGTAGATTAGTATTTCACTATCCAGCTTGCCTTGGCAGCAAAGCAGCTGACTCCCAAAGCCACCCAGCTGTGCAGCTGGAAATAGAGGTACAGCAACCTCTATGTATTGATGACTGGCAGAATTCCAAGCTGGCTGCCAGTGGCTGGAAAAGGGTATTGATAGATTAATCTTGAGGTACCAGGAGAAGAGTTGTGAAATATTGCTTAGTCCCAATTCCCAGAATTCCAGTCATCTTCCCATGATGTGCTACAAGAAAAATTGCAAAATGCATAGGTCCTAGCAGTGGGACAGTGTTTCCTGGGACACCAACCAAAAATACTGCATAGGGTTTGTTTTTTTTGAAAAAATGAAATCTCAGCACTGATCTAAAGAGAAATAGGATTATGCTATCTGTATGATCTCACCTTTTTGGCATTTACTCAAGCATATACACACACACTTGCACATTGTCCACAAAAAAACCTCCACGTGAAGATGAGCCATTAGAAAGCAAGCAGTCTTCATACTGAGTAAACTCAGGCTCTCTGTAAAGTGTTTGCTTGCATACTCTTTCCCTCTGAACTTGACTTTACCAATGATCTACCTGTAGTGCATTTGTCTAATTTTAGTTACTTTTTCTTATGATGAGTTTTAGTTGCTTTTTCTTATGTTTCTTCATAATTCTTAAAATTGTGACCTCCCAGGAGTGTAGTTTTAAGGAGTAAGTAGCATAGCTGTGTTTAACAATGAAGATAAGGAGGCTCAGTGAAAGCAAATCCAGGACCTTCCACAGTCCCTTGACTCTGCCTTGTTTTCCGTGCTTGGCTGGACTGTAGTACTCACAAAGGAGAATATAACTACTATGCCCAGTTGCCTCATACCTCTTTATTGTGCCACGTGGATGTAGGTGGGGGCTCAGTTTGGCAGAGGCTGCATGTTCAGAACTATTGCACGTTTGTAGAGTAATTGCAGTTTGGAGGATGGGAGTCTCCTCTAAACAGAGTGAGAGGAGTGTCTTCAGTAACTCCCCACCTCCCACCCAGCCAGACTGATACAGAGACAGAAACTTTTGCCTCTCAACTTCTGATGGATGAGTCCCAGCAGGTGGAGGCATCTTGTTGCTGCAGAATCGGTAGCATTGTGAGACTTCCTTGTCTATCGGCATTCATCAGCGATAGATTTCAGCATTTGGGGATCTTCTGAGATGCACCGATGGAACGCTAACATCAAAGCAACTTGAGTTTAAATGTGGGGATTGCTCCATTTTCCCTTTAATGCGTGTCACTACTAGGCTGGTGCCCACATGCAGTAAAGCACAGACCCTAGAATGATTCCAGCGACACATGGACCACAGTGGTGGTTCAATGTGATCCACCATTATAATGCACATAAAAGGTCAAACCCCATTTCTATTCCACTTCTTCCTTAGCACCATTAGAATGGTCTTATTGTCTGAAATAACCACAAGTGTCAATCTCTGGCATTTCACCTCAGAAATTAATAAGACTTTCTTGAGACAGTCTCCCTCAACTGTCAAAACTGTAACACTGCTGAGCGATGAGGCCTGGAGGGGGCTTGGGGAATGAGTTTCTTTGCATAGGTGCAATCATGATGTCAGGCCCAGGCAAACTCAGCTAAGCACACACAGGAATTTGCTGTCAATTTTAAATATTCTTTTAGGAAAATGACTTCCTTTCTTTCTTTCCAAGTAACTTTCCTTCACCTTTTTAATCCTGTGTGGCAAACACATCTGTGTGAACCTGCAGCCACTTCTGTAAAGAAAGCCAAACCAAATCTACCCATTGCTAGGTCAGTTATTTGCTTTATATTAGGACCTACTCAGCCTTCATGCACAAATGACAGTGAGAGGGCTTTTATATTATATTTATAAAAAATGTATGTTCCTGTTTAGCAATGAATGTAGGGAGGGAAGCGCTATATATAGTTAGATCTATTACATATTCTGTATGAATTATCCTAAACATATTTTCCTCCCTAAATTTCTTTAATGAAAAAGATTTAACACTAACACTAAAATAGCTTAAAATACTTCATCCAGATTTCCATGCATCTCTAGTATCAGAAAATCTTAAACCCTGTTTAAATACCGCATAGGTATATTACATTTGGACATCTATGCTGACAAAGAAGGTTCTCTGGATTATGCCTGTTTTACCCTATCAGTATTATGGCTTTTATGGGAATAAATACATTTTTATAAGGATCACTAAAGTGATTTTTAAAAAATGCTAATTAAGTCAATTTCTCTGGAAAAGCTCTAGAAAATGTTTGTATATCTTTTGGTGCCAAGCCATTCGTTCTTCAATTATCGGCTCCTTTCCCTAAGATACAGTGTCAGTGTTCCTATGAGAAATGTCTTCTAAAGTACTAAAAGCATTAATGCCCAATAATCTTTTTGAAATTGCTTTACTGGTTCCCTGTTCCTGGGAGGCGAGAGAGTAAATAAAATTGCAGGCTTTGCTTACTCTGTGACATTCTATGATACCATGTTAGTTTGGTTTTTTTTTTTAATAAATGCAATTGTTTTATTGCAGGCCAGTGCATTTTTTACAATACTGGTGGCATATCAATTCTGTAATTAAATGCTATTATCTTGGAGCTGTGGGAATAACAAGTATAGCTTTTATTTAGCTTTATTTTCTGAAAAAGAGCTATGGTTGTGATGATACGAGAAAGAAGAGTTCAGCTATGTGTTAGATGGGTGGGAAAAATTCTCAGCTCATTTTGTTGCCATATTTACCATCCATTTGTTCTCATTTCAGTGATTCCATGCAAAAGTAGATC